CAAGTTTTTACGTAATTCAAAAGGGTAAAGACTAGTCAAATTGACAGTTCCGCAATAGTGTAGTCGTCGAGGCAACTAGTTCGATGTGGTTTGAAAGTGTTTTTATCAGCCAGTCAACTGGATTTCGCGCACTCATATAGTGTTCTAAAAGGGGTACATGTCTGAGGCTATAGTTCCTCTCTTTGTTTAATTGGTTTTTTATTTACGCTTTTTGCCTTAGATTCAGAACTATTGTTGGTTTTATGCTCATGGGAATCTATTTTGTAACTTGGAGTCATGTTTACGAAAAGGCAACTACCGACAAGTTCTAATTTATTACATTAATTGATTTTGGCCTCCAAATCTTGCTACTTTTATTAAATAAATGAGCATGGCAATATAGATAGGCTTGAAATTCGGAAACTTTTCAATCCTAAATGGGTTTTTTAATCATCCTTTAGCCCCTCATTGTTCCACTTCTTTCCCTTGTGCCATTCATGGGTCCTTGAAATTGCTTTCATAATGCAATAACTACGGCTAAAGTTGACGTGGTTTGACCTCTTTTAAGGATAAAAAAGAAAAGGGGAGTTTCTTGTATTGACGTCCCTTTCATTTCAATACGAGAACTACGCCCTCCTAGGTTAATATGTTAACCAGATGATATGGCTGCGGTGACGTAATTCATCAAGAAACTTTAGCTGAGCAAACGATGTTTTAGAATTTACAATGTCTTTGAGTTATTGTCTTGTTTTACCTGCTTTGATTTCTATCCCATATTAACTCCTTCCTGTAGTGTGCATTTGCAGATAAGCTTTTTTGGTACTTGCCAATTGGCTGGTTTTCACTATCATCTTACGCTTACACGCGTAGGGGATGAATTTCTATATTGATACGTAAAAGTTGGATTTTCAGATATATTTTCATTGAGTTGACTTCGTCTGTCTTCAGTCACACTCTTAGCGCCGCTTTTTGTGCATTTCCTTGAATTATTTGTTCTTGATAAGTATACTGTTTGGCGCAACCAAGTTTAGACTACCTTATTAAAAGTAAACGAAATTTTTGCGTTTCAGTATGCATATATGCGAACATCCAATTAAAATAGGCTATGGTGGTTTGTTTTTCATTTTTCTCTTAAATTAAAGGAGATTCGGTATTGTATCATATCCAAGTTCAACACAATTTAAGCAGCCATAACCCTCTACTCTTCATTCATTTGCCATTTCAGTCACCAAGGCTTCATTCTCCCCTTCTTCATCCCCGCCCCTTCGTCACGAACTAGATCAGCGTCAGAGACGCGGTGACAGTGGGGTGGTTCCCGTGCCTCCCCTGCTCGTCTCTCTCCCCATGGACATGTTTCCTGACCTCCCAGCTCAGTTAGCGGTCGCTTCCACCTTCCCTCAGGTAGCGGTGACAGGTGACATCGAGCTGTTTGCTGAGCCCCCATCCCTCTCTACCACCATCCCCACCGCTACCACCAGCACTACCTCTGATCTCAGCTCAAGCCTTCTGCTCCTCCTCATCGTCTGCATACTTTTCCTTCTCCTCGGGATCCTCCTTGTCCCAGCCCGCCTCGGCATTTGCTTCTGGCATCGTCTCTGTTTTCTCTCCTTCACTCGCTCCTCTAAGAGCAGGCGCTTGGTATGTGAGTACAAGTGTTTGGGGCCAATTACTCATATAGTGTTCTAAAAGGGGTACATGTCTGAGGCTATAGTTCCTCTCTTTGTTTAATTGGTTTTTTATTTACGCTTTTTGCCTTAGATTCAGAACTATTGTTGGTTTTATGCTCATGGGAATCTATTTTGTAACTTGGAGTCATGTTTACGAAAAGGCAACTACCGACAAGTTCTAATTTATTACATTAATTGATTTTGGCCTCCAAATCTTGCTACTTTTATTAAATAAATGAGCATGGCAATATAGATAGGCTTGAAATTCGGAAACTTTTCAATCCTAAATGGGTTTTTTAATCATCCTTTAGCCCCTCATTGTTCCACTTCTTTCCCTTGTGCCATTCATGGGTCCTTGAAATTGCTTTCATAATGCAATAACTACGGCTAAAGTTGACGTGGTTTGACCTCTTTTAAGGATAAAAAAGAAAAGGGGAGTTTCTTGTATTGACGTCCCTTTCATTTCAATACGAGAACTACGCCCTCCTAGGTTAATATGTTAACCAGATGATATGGCTGCGGTGACGTAATTCATCAAGAAACTTTAGCTGAGCAAACGATGTTTTAGAATTTACAATGTCTTTGAGTTATTGTCTTGTTTTACCTGCTTTGATTTCTATCCCATATTAACTCCTTCCTGTAGTGTGCATTTGCAGATAAGCTTTTTTGGTACTTGCCAATTGGCTGGTTTTCACTATCATCTTACGCTTACACGCGTAGGGGATGAATTTCTATATTGATACGTAAAAGTTGGATTTTCAGATATATTTTCATTGAGTTGACTTCGTCTGTCTTCAGTCACACTCTTAGCGCCGCTTTTTGTGCATTTCCTTGAATTATTTGTTCTTGATAAGTATACTGTTTGGCGCAACCAAGTTTAGACTACCTTATTAAAAGTAAACGAAATTTTTGCGTTTCAGTATGCATATATGCGAACATCCAATTAAAATAGGCTATGGTGGTTTGTTTTTCATTTTTCTCTTAAATTAAAGGAGATTCGGTATTGTATCATATCCAAGTTCAACACAATTTAAGCAGCCATAACCCTCTACTCTTCATTCATTTGCCATTTCAGTCACCAAGGCTTCATTCTCCCCTTCTTCATCCCCGCCCCTTCGTCACGAACTAGATCAGCGTCAGAGACGCGGTGACAGTGGGGTGGTTCCCGTGCCTCCCCTGCTCGTCTCTCTCCCCATGGACATGTTTCCTGACCTCCCAGCTCAGTTAGCGGTCGCTTCCACCTTCCCTCAGGTAGCGGTGACAGGTGACATCGAGCTGTTTGCTGAGCCCCCATCCCTCTCTACCACCATCCCCACCGCTACCACCAGCACTACCTCTGATCTCAGCTCAAGCCTTCTGCTCCTCCTCATCGTCTGCATACTTTTCCTTCTCCTCGGGATCCTCCTTGTCCCAGCCCGCCTCGGCATTTGCTTCTGGCATCGTCTCTGTTTTCTCTCCTTCACTCGCTCCTCTAAGAGCAGGCGCTTGGTATGTGAGTACAAGTGTTTGGGGCCAATT